TAAGTGCCTCCGGGGTTAGACAAAAGCCCCTGGTCATCCTACAGACGTGGCAGAGCGAATTTAAAGGGGACTGAAAACATTAAGGTAAAATTTTTTGCCTCCTAAAACCCCCCCTCTCCCGCAGCCCCTGGCCAGCAGGGTTTTTGCAAACTTCAAAAAAGTACACCAAAAACTCTGTTTGAAAAGGGGCTTTTGTAGTGACCTCCGAAAAAAAAACTGACAAGGGGTTTTTTGGGGGAGGGCACTTTTTAAAAATCCCCAAATTTTGTAAACCTTATAGGGAAAAAATTGGGGGGAGTGACCAAAAAGACCTTTAACTCGCTTGGGAAAAAACGGGGGCCCGAAAAGTGTGAAAAAAAGGGGTTTTTAAAAAGGGGTTTAGGGGTAACCCTGAGAGGATTTTTGCCAGTTTTAGGAAAACCTTTTTGGGGAATTGGGGAAAATCCTTGGGGTTTGGGGGTTATGGGGTGATGTGGAAGAGTTGGTGGGGGAGGCAAAGAAGAACCCAACCATGATGGCGATAGATCAACCCTTTAAAAGCAAGAGGCCCGACCCGGGGGAAAAAATGGTTTTGAAGGAGGGGGAGGAAAAAATTGAAGAAAAAATTTCCTATTCAAAAATTAGGAAATCTTGGGGCAAAGGGGCTTGAAGTGCAAACCTTCATGGATGAAAAAACCCCCTCACAGCTATTGCAAACCGTTTCTTGGGGGGATTAAATTTCACTGACAATGTTGTGAAACCCCCTTTGGGGGAAATCATAAAGGGAAAGAGAGGTACAGGCCATATGGACAGATTAAAGTTGTTTCGAAAAAAAAGTCCAGTGACCTGAAGCGGTCTTGTGGCATTAAAAAAAGAAGGGAAGTAAAACCCCCGAAAGGACTCGACACCTCAAATTTTTTAAAGGAAGGGGGTTCCCCCTTTTAAACACAAACACAATCTCTCCCCCCCCACCCCTCCCTCATCAAAAAGATTTTTCAATAAAAGTAAGTGTCATGTAATTTTTCTTCCTTTTTTAGTTTGGGGGTATTAAAATTAACATTTCATGTGGTAAAATTTTTTTTTTTCCCTACTTTTGGGGTCTTGCACGGAAATTTAATTTTTATTTCCTTTTTTTTCTTAGGGGGGGAAAATTCCCTTTTGCATAAACCCTCATTTCGATAACAATCAGCCCTCTTGCACGGATTAAAGTCGCTATGCGGGGGGTCCACTTATTTTGTTTATTTCAATTACAGTCACTGCTTTTAAAAATTTTTAAAAATAGTATACCAAAAAATGTTAAAGGGGAAAAGGTAAAATTAAAACAATAAAAAGGGGCTGACACAAACCACTACCATTACAGATCTCCTTACTTGGCCAAATTTTGGGTTTAACGAGGGGGTTTGGAACGACTTCGTCGTTAAGTGGGAGGGGCTAAAAATTTCGATTTTTTTTTTATTTGGTAACCATTCAGTCCCTGAAAAAATTGTCTCATTAAAAAAAGTTTTTAAATAATTATATTGAATGTATCATAGGTAAAAAAACTGTAATAAGTGCATATGTTTTTAAAGGGTGTTAAAATATATATTATTTATATATATTTATTATATATATATAAAATATATTAATATTATAATATATTTTTTATATTTTATATTTTTTATATATTTAATAGGAGGGGGCCCCCTCTGGTGTAAATTTTGGGCCCTATGCCCCAGGAAGGGGGGAAAAAGGCTTAAGGAAGAATATTTGGATTTTTCCTAAAGCCGTTTAAAATTTTCCATTTCCCCACCCCCCCTTTTTATACATTATTATATTATATATAATATATATATAATTATATATAATATTATATAATTTAAATATTTTAATATAAAATTTTAAATATATGTTGATCGGGGTTAATAGCAACACTCATTTGCCATGTAGGACAACGAAAATTTGTGTATTTAATAATTTCCCCAAAATCATTCTGAACCTAACTAAAAAAAATTATTTCACTGTGTTTGTTTAGTATTAAATTATTGTAAACAAATCTAAAATATATAAGTTGGTTAGACTAAAATAAGTTGTTCTTGTTATAATACGGTTAGGTAAGTTTCTAAGATTCTTTTGTTGAAAATTGCATTTTTTTACATTAACCTTATGAAAAAAAATATATCTTTAAACGTATACTAAGAAAGTTTTAGATTGACTTAACTTTAAATGAGTTCTTGCTAATTGACCAGTTTTACATATTCGGCATGACATATATCTACATGTATATAATATATCTATATAACGTGGTATATATATATATATATAATATATATATATATATATATATATATATATATTATATATAATATATAATATTAATATACACACACACACACACATAACACAGATCTCTGCGAAGGAGACTCGAACCTACGAACCTTAGGACAAGGAATCGGTGATAATTCGCTGCTCTCGCAAATTCCTGCCTGTTCAAATCTCTAGTAAGGCTGATGCATGCAGGGATGAGATGAAAAGCTGTAAGCCT